AGCTAAGCTGTCTAGTCAATGGAGTGCCAAAATCTGCAGTTACTTATTAAGTGGATTGATATATTGATTATAAAATTATTAATTATTATTACTGAAACATTAATTATATTTTCTGTACACTTTCTTTAAATTTTTCAGTATTTTTCTTCATTTGTGCAGGAAATTTCGAGAAAATAGGTCCGCAGAATCGCATTAACACTGCGAATGCCTATTGGTTACAATTACTATAGCCACCGGCCGACTTTACTGCAACATTTGCGCGGAAATTGGCAGACTTATTTTTAATATGCGTGGATGGAATTTTTTCTTTATGAGATAACTCTAAATCAATTTACACATACTGTAATAATTTCAACCAAAACAGAGTTCCAGAGTTTTCACCAACATTTCAAGAGTGCTGAGATTCCAGCTCCCCACTTGCAAAGGCCATTTAGGCTTCGTTTTAAGCCCGAAAAATTGGCATCACAGAGTCGGCCGGCGACACTTCTTATTTAGGTTATAATGTAGCCTAGAACATTAGGCCTGTACAACTTCAGCAAAGTACATATATAACGATCTATAGTCTCATTTTCTTGTTCAATGGTTGTTTTTATTGAGAATTATTTAAAAAAAAAAAAAAAAAAAACTGGTACGCCTTCCAACTTCGAAATTCAGTATTAATCGCCAGAGAACATCGTCACACTTCTAGTGTTTACAAAGGTTTCGCGGAGTAACATATCCCAAACATTGCATATTGCCCCGAATGATGTAATATCCCAGCATTCTGATTGGTTTACAACTTGCAATAGACTCAACATATCTTACTCGCCAGCCTGCGTAGTCGGGCGCACACATGATTTGGGATGTTACTCCGCGAAATATAGTTTCGTAATTGGAAGGCCTGCTACCAGTTAGTTCGATGTTTTGTTGTTACGTTTTTTGTTGTTGTTGTCAAAACAAGAAACATTCCTTGTAGAATTATATATTTTTTATATATTTTTTATATAAATTAACCAATTAATTCAATTGCTGCACTTTACAGTATTAATTCCACGTTTAAAATTTAATCTTAAAAGTGGAAGTGGTAAAATGTAAAATAGAATCCATCGTTAAAATAATATCTAAGAAATAAGTAATTACGTGAAACTATCATATTTCATGTTTATTTTTTAATAAATATACTGATAATCATTATTAATTAACATGTATTTTTCTATTTATCAGTTATTCATTCCATCAGTAACACCATATTTTGTCATATTATTTAGTTGGATTGCTTAATAGACTGCACTAATATTCATCTGAAAATAATAAAGTAAAGCAGTAAAACTAATTTTATAAACATTTAATTAAAAGAGGAACACCAGGAAATATAAAAAAAAACCTAACACACACACACACCCACTCCTTATCATTAAATCAGGATTAATCTAACTCCTTGATCGAACCATGAAACCTATATACATGTAAAACATAGGCCTATGCTACTAAACAGGAACTATCACCAACAAAAACCATGTTCAATGACGTCACCGCCTGCCAAATCATCGAATTTATAATGAGGTTTTCTCTACGAACACGCATGGGCACAGTTTATTGTTGAGTACCAGGAGTACAAACACATGTTTACGCACCAATAACACCAGGTTTCATCGATAGGAACCGTTAGGAAAGTGTTTCAATCTTGCTTAAAAATCATCTAATATTATAGACATTATAAATGATAGCTATATTTTCGTATGAGTACAGACAAACGGAAAATTATCGGATTTTTTTGCTTTTTTCGGTGAAATATAGGCCGCGAAATGCCGATCAAAAGGGCATCCGAAGAACAATAGTTGAACTATGAACTTTAAATTTAAACTGCACATAGGGTTTTACTATTGGAGTAACATCGGACATTTGGTTTGTTGTTCATGTCCTCGACTCTCACTGCGGTGCTGCACTGTTGAAGCCGGTCTGTATGATAGTACATCAAAGGCCTCGTTATCGCTCGTAAATGGCCTTCGTAATTGGCGGTTCGTTTGTTCTTAATAAGTTTATTGTGCCTTTAGGCTATGATCAGCGTTGGATCTCCAGTCACTATAACAACTCCCTGGTGTACCCACAATGCCTTCTGAACGGATGTTCCACTATTGGGAAGCTGCTCTATCTTCTGCTATTTATTATCTTTGCCGAAATGCATAACAATACGGCGCGACCGAAACAAGGTAATAAAGTAATATTTTTACTAGCCTAGCCCTAGCTAGCCTAGGCAGTTGTTCAATACGCCTTTTTCACGAATCGGTAGACATCTTGAAGTGATGACAAACATTGCGAATCAGCGGTGCGTAACCAACAGAAATAAGATAAGCTTTTGGGCTGATTTTCTGACATGTTATTTAAAAAATCATAACTACATAACGGGGCGTCGTATCCAAAAAGTGTTTCCAGGAAAATGTTCTTAAAAGACTATTCTACACCACTATATGATTGAAAAAAAATTGAAAAATATTTTTGACCTCTGAAATCAAGATTGAAAAGAAAAGCCTATCTTAGTAGTGTATTAAAATAGGCCAATGCATTACAGTGCAGTAGCATAGGACTTCCGAGTTGTTACTGTTCCAAGTAGCGATAATATACATATTTCTCTTATTACAAAGTACAAGTTATGTTTTATAAAGAGGTATAGTATAGTAAATCATGTTTTTAACACAGGAAACTCTCATATGGTAACTAAAACAATGCTAGTTCAGAGTATTACTAGTACTACAGCACTGTAAGGCCAAGTAAAAAAAAATAATTGGCTAGCATCCTTTTGGTATCAAATTTCATGGTAGGGAGGGAGGTTTTTTTTTGTTTTTTTTTTTCCTCGTAGAACATGAAAAACCAGTGTCAGAAGGAAAATTAGCAAAACAAAGAAGAGGAAAACAACAGACGCCAAAATTGGATACAAGAAATCATGTAATTCATCTATATCAAGCAGATAAGCTTTGCCTATATGAATAACAGTCATATTGAAATCCCTATGAAGTTTTAAAACATGCAACATTGTATATGTTTACAGAACTGATGATATTGCAGGTTTAAAGCATTCCATCCTAAGTGGCAAGTGTAATTGCTGTTGGATGTGAAATTAAAAATAAAAATAACAGCAAAATAAGAAGATTGAAGTTTGTCATAGTCGTATAATAATTCATTGTCCCTTCATAAACAGAAACGTAATTTTTGAACTGGCATTTTGCACAATTGATTACTATTTGTGATTGTTTATGTACTTGAGTACATATAGTGATAATACTCAATAGTGAATACTGTTATTGAGTTTGACTAGTATCATGTGCTATGTTTATGCTGATATACACTTTGACATCTAGTTGGACCAGCTGTTTGGAAACATCATGTCACTGTACCAGCATGTGAATATTCCATGCTTTGTGTTTAAGTTTGTGTTTGCTGGACATTAATTATAACTGGACCATACTGGGTTTGTTGGAACAACAAAACAGTCATCATTGATGCCATGCAGGGGTTTCGCCAGAAAAACAAAATAGAAGGCCTATTTTGTTTTTCCAAAATGGAAGCCA